TGCATATTGATTTTTATTATTCAAATCCCCTTTATTGTCACACATCAAAACACAGAAGTATAGTTATAGGTGACAGTCTTTGGTACATGCTCCGAACAGTACACTTACAAGGCATGACATTACATAAAGAGACAAAAATATACAAATAAATATATAGTACACAAAATACAAATATACTCATAATACAGAATGTACACTATATAAATATACAAATATACACACAGGATTTATGCAGTACAATACACACAGAAGTAGAGTACTACTGTATATATATATATATATATATATATCACTGTAAAAAAATATTGTTGGTTTAACGTAAGTAACCTGGTTGCCTGTTAAAAGTGAGTTAATACGATGAAGGAGAATGATTTAATCATCAGAAACTCAAAATTATATGTTATCTAAACTAAATAAATTATTTAAGTTGATTTGACAAAAGAAAAAATGTTGTGATAACTAATCATGAAAAGATTTTTTTACAGTGTATATGAAGAGTTCAGATGCAAAAGCCTCTAAGTGCCATTTGAAATTTTCTTCTAGAATGATCATTTTTATCAAGCTTGTATATTTAAGTTCAGTAATTTCACTTAAATGGCAATGATGATTACCTATTAATTGTTATTTAAGTAAAATTACTGAACTTAAATATACAAGTTTGATAAAAATCATCATTCAAGAAGAAAATTTCAAATGGCATTTAGAGGCTTTTGCATCTGAACTCTTCAAATATATATATAATTTTTTATTTTATTTACAATACAAAATATTGTGTTTTGAAATACTAAATGTACAGGATTTATGATCTACAATTTAAACAAAGCATATAAAAAGCTTATTTGTTTTTGTCTTAACTTCTAGATTATATTTGAAGAGTTCAGATGCAAAAGCCTCTAAATGCCATTTGAAATTTTCTTCTTGAATGATGATTTTTATCAAACTTGTATATTTAAGTTCAGTAATTTCACTTAAATAACAATTAATAGGTAATTATTATTGCCATTTAAGTGAAATCACTGAACTTAAATATACAAGCTTGATAAAAATCATCATTCTAGAAGAAAATTTCAAATGGCACTTAGAGGCTTTTGCATCTGAACTCTTCATTTCTAGTTTTGCTATTAAGAAGAAACTTTAGAACCAATCTCAAATGTCCAACCATTTGTTTATGTAACGAACAGTTGAAAGCTGCCAAGTTGGAGATCAGGGATCTTCAGGCAGAGTTTGAGATGGAGAGAGATGATTATCTGGCCACCATCCGGCGTCTAGAGCAGGAAGGCCAGCTCCTTCAAGGACTCTTGGAGCGCATGGCGCCCCTGGTGCGAAGGGACTGTAACTACAGCAACCTGGACCGCCTGCGGAAGGAAGCGGTGTGGGATGAAGAGGGAGGGACCTGGAGACTGCCAGAGGTTGTGGTGCAGAAAACCACTTTACCTGCAGGTGAAGTGCTGGAAAGAAAAAGACTGCAGTGTGAATTTCCTGAGATGATCTTTGTGTAATCTATTTTCAAAATTAAAGTCCTATACTTGTATATTCTAGTTTCTAATGGGATCGTAGAAGATCCGACAAAAGCTTGTTCTGCACCGACATTGATTCAAAACATTAGTCACCAGTAACACAGAATCTACAAACTAAATCTATTTTTAACAATAATAATGAATCATGGAGAACAGGCTTTTAAATTGTGCATGTCCAAAAAAGGAAATGTGCTGGTGCACACAAAAAAAAAGCTAATGTTAAAGGTATATATTCTCTCTCTTCTTGCTCTGCAGTGCCTCCTTCAGGTGCCATTGCCCCTGGCAGACTTTCAGCACGAAGGAATTCAGCCTCAGACCTTGCCGACCCTTTTGTGGTATTCAGACAGTGAATTAACACTATCCAAAGACGACTTCTGACATTTACACACAGATACACTACAAATGAATCGGATATACCAATACTAGTCTAGATTAATGTACCACGTTCAATATTTGTGTTTTTATACTTGAACTTGCTAGCTGATGATAATTTTAAACCTGGAATAAACCAACCCTGTGTTACCTTAATTATTTGCATATATATATATAGATATAGATATATATATACGTATATATATATATATATATATATATATATATGCACGCACCTCATAAAAGCATATGCTAGGGTTAAAAAGTGGTCTTACCCCATAAACAAAATGACATAATATGAAATGTTCTTAATCTTAACCCAGGGTTATAAGCAGACTGGGTTTAAAAAAGATTTTAATCCTTTGTTAAGTTTAGTGAGAAAAGTGTTTAATATCCCTAGAACCTTACTTATGAATATGAAAAACATCCATAACTTTGACTCATGTCCAACTGACTCTCTTTTTAGCATGAAGTGGAGGAGGATCGCTACAAGGAAATGTTGAAACGCAGTGATAGCCAACATATCGCCACTAACTACTTCAAGCCAAAACGGACCAGTCAGCTTTTGATCAGCGACTCGATTAAAAACACAAGTAAGAAATTGATGTAATATTAACTTTACAGATTCATGTTCATTTGTTTCTCTCATGCAACTGCTGTATGCTTATAAATGTTGCTAATTCTAATCATTTTGTCTCAGTGAATTATTCTGGTTCAGTCGGTAATGGTTCAGGCCACCAGACCTCCAGTGGGTCCAGTTTGTCTCCTCTAACCGGGGAATCTCTCCCTGCGCGACCCTTCCGTTTGGAGTCCCTTGGAGTCCCACCTGCACACGGTAAAGTAAAACGCAAGAAGAGCAAGTCACTCATCCCAACTGAGGGCAACTGACAGGACACGGCTTTGCAAATCCTTTGTATATGTAAGAAAATCCAGAGCTTTATATCTTTTAAAGCTGCTATTATCTGATTTTATTTCATATGTAGATATATTAAGACATATTTTTATTGTATTAGTGCTTAATGACATGCAGGGTAATTTTGTCACCTAACTTCTTTTAATTCTAAATGTCACATAATGGAATGTAAGCACTGTATAAAATATAGGAATTTTAACTAACGTAATACTACCTGAAGTAGAAATAATGCCTTTTGCTCAAGTGTTGTATTTTGCACTGAGAACCTATGCTGCTGTCTGTATTATTAAATAAGTATTTTTGTCCTGCAAAAACGATCTTAAAGTGGGTGACCTCACTTCTGTTTGTGTTTGAAGCAAGATCCCAAACAAACCAAGTTAGTTTCGTGCATCATGAAAAAAACGATCATGCACGCGCATTTCTTAAAGCGACAAAAGCACACTATATTCAGATTGACGGTCTACTTCAATGATGGCTCATTCTGTGAACTGTAAAATGTGAACTTGGCTGCTTTGGATTTCAAAGTATGATGATGATGTATGTGATGAAGATGATGATGGTTCAGTGTGGGTGATGGAAGAAGACAAGTGTCGGCGAAAACTAGGTTTCGAAGACTCAGGTTGCACTGGGCGTTCTCACTATAAAAAATTCAATTCACGTTCAAAGAACACTCTTTCCACATTAAACAAAAGTGTCTAATAACTAGGGATGTGTTTGAGATAGTATTTGTCATGTACTTTTTCTAAGCCATTTATATAGTAGTGACTTTTTAGTGGATAAAATGAAGTCTTAAGGCCAATATTAACATGCATCTCATTAGCAATATAAAATGGGTTGCAAATAGGGTGACCACCATCAAACAAACCAAATGTGGGACATGTTACCAACTCTAAAACATACCCAGAAACTGTTATATAATGTCTATCTAACTTAATAAAAACATTTATATTCTGCTTTTCAGCTGATAAAAATGATTTGTTATTTAGTCCTTTCCAGAAAAAAAATCTGTCATGTATAAATCAGGAATCATGTATAAATATTTTAGAAACAGTTCTGACCAAGTCCAACAAAAATCCAACAAAATAAATAAACAATGAACAAATACAATATAAAACAACATGATATTAGATAGACAGTCTTATATATATTAAGAATAATATTAAAAACCAAAACCATATATTTTTAACAACCACAGCAGGTTAAACAACAACAGATACATTCCGTTAAATTAAAATTTTAATTTACCGAATTATCCATTTGTTTTCCGACAGGGAACATATGAAACGAACCACCGGTCCACATTTTGATTGACAGCCGTCACAACCTACGAGTGACCGTGTTTTTACTCCTTTCTTTTCAACCATTGGATAGTAAATAAAACACAGCTGTTGTATTTGCACTTATGACGAAGCGCTGAAAACTACGGTGCAAAAGTAATGAGTAAAATGCTTTCTTAAAAAGGCAAAAGAACGCATGCACGTTTTCTTAATATGATAATTAAAAACCAATAGACTGTTGAAAATGCGGGACATTTCCTCAGTATGCGACGTGCGGCACAAGGGTTGAAAATGCTGTGTGGTCACCCTAGTTGCAAATGTTGCTTTGTGTTGTTTAAATTCCTTCTTTTTTTTCTTTTCTTTTGGTGATTCATCTCTTGTAGCCAGAATCAAAACAAGTAGGAATGATAAATATCCTAAAAAAAAATATTAACACAATTGCTTTATGTAAATTGGTCATTCCTTCTGACATTAAGTAGATGCAACCTTGATTAAAAACACAATAGTGATGGTGACCTGTGCCCAGCAGACAGTAATCACTGTAATTAAACCACTCATTGAAAAGCACTATCAATCAGAATGAAGCCAAGCGGAGGACCATTTAATAAACCAATAGGTTTTCAGGTTTCCCCATGTGCATATACTTATAATACTAAACCTACTTACTAAACCTAACCTTAACCCTAGTTACCTTATATTATCCAGTACTTTCACATTCTGTAAAATAAAGTGTAGTGTATGTTCCATGTATTAGCATTTGTATTGAACTATTTTTCACCGTGGTTTTGCTATCAACCCCAAGCAAATCACCTGGAAAGTTTAAAATGGTTGGTTATACAAAGCGCATTGTTTGGACATGGATGCAGTTTAGGCATAATATCTGCAATCTGATCAGCACAGCAACCAGACACTGAAACCAAGTGATAGATTTTATGCTAAAATTAGTGCTTTATTCATGTATGTTCAGTGGTTAAACATTGCCATAATTTATAGCTGCTTTCCATGTGCATTATGGTGTGTATTTGATTAGACAAGCAATCGTGAAAGGGCAACTGTTAACTGAGTCAATACAAACAGAAGGGACCATTCTCAGTGTAAGTCATGAACTAGGTCACATTCCGAGATAAAGAACTTTAATGACAGATGAATCTGAGAGGCCAGGTAACATGAACACCGGTCTGTTAATGCATTAATCCACCCAAGTGCTGTGTCAGATCTCACTGACCGGCGTGTAAAATGAGGAGTTTGACTGATAGCTGATCTTTGGGAGACAGGGTTCCTCGTGTTCAAGAATCTCTAGTGCAGGAGACAATGCAGTATGCATTTTATTTAAAAAAATACATTTAAAAAAGATTTGTAAAATAGGCTTATTCATTTAGAGAGCCTAAGTCCCGCCCCATCCGGTCGACCACCATGGGACCTTATTTCGGAAAAATATTGAATGGTAGTCAATGGCGAGAGACAACAAATATTTTGATCTCGTTTGCATTATGCCCTGAATTACACATATGATGTTTGTCAATTTAAAAGATGCATTGTAAAGTAAAGAAAGTCGCAGTTTGATGTAAAACCGTTGAGGTATAAGACTGTGAAAATACGTAATTACAAAGACTACAAACCCCAAAGGCGCACATTTTCTCTCAATGAATGAAGCTAACTTTACTGAGGCTGTCTGTCATTGTTTCTGCAGTCTTACGTTATAATCGTAACGTTACGTCGTCCTACCTGAGTGTTTTGTACCAGACTGCACACACACAAGCAGCGGATCTCACTTGTTGTTTCGCTTCCCGGGAAATGTAGTTCATAGAGCGATTTTCACATAAAACTAAATGTTACTCTTCTGTTTCATGACAAACTGCGACGTTTTTGACTTTCAGGATTATCTTTTAAATTGACAAACATCATATGTGTAATTGAGGGCACAGTTCAGACGGAATAAAAAGATAAGTTGTCTCTCGCCATTGAAACCATTCATATTTTTTCCGAAATAAGGTCCCATGAGCCTGAAGCGGAGGGGCGGGACTTAGGCTCTCTATAGATAGGTCATAGCAAGATCAAAGAGCAATATAAGGCTAATCTACTTACAGCCATTCGAAATTAAATATACTTAAGTTCACCTGGAAAAGTAAACATACTGTATAATCTTAATCTTCAGCGTTGAAAAAAAGTCATCTGGGAGTGATCACATGTATCATTGCTCTGCGAAATTTCACACACAAAATCGAATTGTTTAAATTAATTGCAAAAACCAGGATCATTTTTCCATCAAACGCCGAAACTCGCGACATTGGTTGAGCTGATGTTGCTATTTTAATTGGGATGTTCAAAAAGAAAGCACCTATCAAACATGAGATCACAGCAATTAGCAAACCACAATGATCCAATCAATTCCCAATTGACAAAATCAAGTCACCCAACATTTGTTCTTGTTTGAGAAGCCGTTTCACTCACAATAGACAAGAAAAGACAACTCACAACTTCTGTTTCATGACCGTTTCATGCTGTCTTTAAAAACCGGAGAGCAAATAGTCTACAAACCTCAGTTTTTCAGCAATCCAAGCTTTCGTAATGCCTCTCTCCGATCCCTTCCGATGCTGGGAACCGGCACGTTTAGGCTTTTGGAATGAGATGATGATACGTGCAACACATCGTTTCTGAGTATCGATTCATTAGCATCTATTTGAGTGTCTTTAAGGTTGTTCTTGCTCTCTGCTTCAGAGGAACATGACTTTTGATTCTTAAAAACCTGATTTATGACTGTGATGTTAGAACCTGACCGCCCCATCTCAGGGTGTTCCAGTGAAGAAGCTGTGGCTAGATCGCTCACAGACTTCTGGTGGGGAGGATTGCAACTTTGTATTGGCTGGTTTATTCGTCCTCCAGATCTTGCAGGGATGCTTAGAGGAAGATGTTCGCTTGTGGTCTGGTTTTGCTCCAAGTTTGCAGGCGATTGGGAATGCTTTAGTTGTCGACAGACTGGGTTCTGTGCGTCCTCCTTGAGGAGACCTAACTTGCTAAGAGCCTCCACTCTTACTTTCTCTGGGTTCATTAATTTATCTACGGGCATGGTTGAATCAATCTTAGTGTTGGAGGCTTCTTCCTGGTTAATTGGGACTTTGTGTGTGGTTTTCATTTTAGGTTTAGGGGCCACAGGTGGAGGAGTGGGCTTGGAGCCACCACTTGTCACAGCCTGTGAGTTCTGGGAAAGAGTTTGGGATCCAGAGGTGTCTCCCACTACATTGTTATTTGTAGAAACCTGCTGTCCTTCGGTTTTGGCTTCAGTTCCATTGGTTTTCCGCATCGATGCACTCTTGCGCAGCTTCACCAGAGCCTCATACGAAAGGGGTCCTCTACGTGCCACATTCTCTGGCTGCTCATGATTCTGCTGTTCTTCCGCTGTATCTTTGCTGCCTTTGGTTTTATTCACAACCACACTGACCTCTGAGGGAACTCGTGGAGCTTCTTGATGGAGCTGGGCACTTCCAGAAGACGTATTTTTCTGGGATGCGGCTAATCCAGGTCTGGTTTGAATTTGCGGGTTACGGTTCGCGAGGACAAATGGAGTCGGGACCATAAAATTCAGAATTTCATTTTGCACCAAGCTGTTAGATGACAATTGACCTTCAAATTGGCTTTTGGGCACATCTACAATCAAGAAATGTATTTTAGTGTATTATCAGAAATAGTTAGGAGTTAGAAATACTAAAAGAGCTCTACTGTATAATGCACCTTGACTAGGGACCCTGTTGAGTCCTATTGACGCAGAGATGTGGGCTGCTTTGTTAGCCACGTTTCCTCGAGCTGGCAGCTGCTCAGGCTCGTCATTGGACAGGCCGCTGTCATCCTCCGTATCCAGTGACTGAATGGTCTCCTCTAGGTACATGAGACAAGCCTTCTCCTCAGCAGAGAGATACTCCAGACTTTCATCACTCTGAAACAAAAATTGCTCACATGAAATTTGTGACTGGGTCATAATTTTTGTGATGAGTTTAATATGTGATGAGTAAAAGGATAGTTCACCGAAAATGGAATTTTCATTTATTCACCGTCATACCTTCCAAACCTGTATATCATCGGTGAAGGATGTGACTGTTTTTGTCTAAACAATGAAAGTCAATGGTGTGCAAAATAACATTGAACCCCTTTGACTTTCATTGTATGGACAGAAAAAAACTCCCCAGTTTGTAAAAAAAACAAAAACAAAATTTGTGTTCCCCAGAAAAAAAGAGAGTACATTTTCATTTTTGGGTCAACTATCACTTTAGCAATGTTTCATCCACAACTTCTAGATATATACACTCACCTAAAGGATTATTAGGAACACTAATACTGTGTTTGACCCCCTTTCGCCTTCAGAACTGCCTTAATTCTACGTGGCATTGATTCAACAAGGTGCTGAAAGCATTCTTTAGAAATGTTGGCCCATATTGATAGGATAGCATCATGTAGTTGATGGAGATTTGTGGGATGCACATCCAGGGCACGAAGCTCCCATTCCATCACATCCCAATTTAAGATGCTCAATTGGGTTGAGATCTGGTGACTGTGGGGGCCATTTTAGTACAGTGAACTCATTGTCATGTTCAAGAAACCAATTTGAGATGATTCGAGCTTTGTGACATGGGGCATTATCATGCTGGAAGTAGCCATCAGAAGATGGTGGCCATAAAGGATTGGACATGGTCAGAAACAAAGCTCAGGTAGGCCGTGGCATTTAAAATGATGCCCAGTTGGCACTAAGGGGCCTAAAGTGTGCCATTCTGAAATTCAGTTTGGAGCTCAGCAGATTGTCTTGACCAGGACCACACCCCTAAATGCATTGAAGCAACTGCCATGTGATTGGTTGATTAGATAATTGCATTAATGAGAAATTGAACAGGTGTTCCTAATAATCTGTTAGGTGCGTGCGTGTATATATACAGTATGTCTTCAAATTCATAAAATAAAAGTATGTCTTACAAAGCATGAGTTGAAGCTGACCATGCTGTCACGGCTGCCATTACTGTCAATCTCGCCCACTGTGTCAAGGACATTCCCATCTTGCGACATGTCACGTATCGGCATTGCAAATGATTAAAAAGTTCTTTAAAATTGTTGATGAAACTGCATTTCTCCTAAAAATAGAATAAAAAAAAAATGCAAATTTAGTGTCTTGATATGCATCCTTTGGAAAAGTTTGGTACAGCTATTATAGAACAATCAACTAAAAACAAAATACCAAAAAGGAGTTAAAAGAGCCTATTAAATCTGTATTTCTGTGTATATTAATAATCAGATGATGTTGAATGAGATTACTGCAGATGTTACACTGAGCTTCTTTAGTTGGATCAAACTAAAGTTGGTTTGTTTAAAGATAAAAAAAAAATAATCTCATCATGTTTAATTCTTTAAAATTTATTAGAAATGGTTTCAATGATTAGAAGGAACTACCGGTATGTCGATACACTTTGCTTTATTATTTGTTACGTACTGTAAATCACTCTCACTGTTGTAAATTTAAATATGACATGGATGATGATAAAGCATTTTTTATCTTTCAGAGATGGTATATATTGTGTTATTTGATGCAAAATTAAAAGGTTTTCTTTATGGATAGAAGAATAAAGCTTTCATCAGTATAGCACATACTTGTTTTCAGATCCCACAAATTCACATTATTTTTAAGAGCTGTAATAATTTAACTTTAATCAGTGAACCATATCTCAATGGCTGTAAAAGCAAGGTCCATTTTTACCGACATAAACCCACTAGCCTTTTTCTAATGTAGTAGTTAATAATTGGATGCTTGGTTCTTTTTGTAATTGTTACACAAATATGCACTTTGACACACCATAATGTCTTTTATGTAGCTCTAGAGAATTCATATCTATGATCATAACACTAATAAAGTTTATGACTTTATTAGGGTATATGACCTGTGTTACATAATAGAGCACACAATGTTATCTGCTATAAGGGTGTGTGAACCTCTCACTGCAAGAGACTAGGCTACACTAGAAATAAATTCACAGTGTTTTAACTCTTGGGTCAAAAAAAAAAAAAAAAAAAAAACACTTAAGATATTATACAAAAATTTAAATTCTATAATCACTTATGCTGCTCCAAACCTGTATGAGTTTCTTTCTTCAATTGAACTCAAAAGAAGATGCATGGTAACCAAAAAGTTGATAGACCCCATTAAATTCCATATTGACATTTTTTTGTGTGAACTATCTTTAAGTAAATAATCGATATTGCTGAACAACTTGAAAAAATAGGAGCAAGTGCTATAAATTAAATTCTATTTTAATTATTTAACAATTGCAAAATTAATTTACTATTCTTCTCTGCTTAAAATTCTGTCTTTGCCAACCCCTTTCATTAAAATCTTACGAATAACGTTACTCATACACAGAAATAAATATATAAAGCCCGAAACATGGCTTAAGAAAAGCGTACCTTTAGTGCAGAAACGAGTTAGATGGCAGCTCGGCAGGTTCACGTGCTTCTACAGTGTCAGTTTCACTGTGAGGTACTGTACATAGTGAAAGCTTCAACCAATCATTTTCGTTCTCTCCTGCAGCAGCCAATTAGAGAACAGGCCGGTGAGCGTAGACAATAAAACGAACGTTCGTCTCAAAATCAAAATATTTATGGACGGCGGGAAAGAAGATACGTCAATACATACTTATTTACGCACACGACTGTAATGACAAGCACATGACGACTGAAAGTGTCAAGAGGATCACCTGCAAATCCTAGTTAATCGCGTTATTAGGGGTTTCTTAAAATAACATTAGTTTAATCCCCGTCAACTGGAACTGATTTGATCCTGTGTCAATGACTGGGATTCATTATGTTTTCACACCATCTATTTACAGTCTATTGAGAGGTTTTAACATTTATTTCTTTAACCATTTTTATGCTCCTGGTCCAATCGTGACTAGTTATTAAATACTAATTATACTTATTCCAGTAGTGACTAAAATATATTAAATTACTTACCATTTGCTCACTAAGGAATAAGTTCATAGCTAATGAACGATATACAGGATCCTTATATGGCAAGCCGTTTTAGCCTAAAATGTTCCCAGTGTTAGTCTTAATAGCAATTTTACTAGTAAGAATAGTTCTACAATTCAATTCTTAATAGTAACAATTTGTAGAGATCTCTAATAATTTCTAGTTATATAAAATACTAGTTTAAGGAATAAATGTTAAAAGGCAAATGCAAACCAGATTTTTACATTTCTTTTTTTGACATTTTACATGTCTTTGTTCCAATTTTGATATTTCAAACCGTTCTTGTCTGTCAGTCATATAATGGAGGTCTATGGTCACCACCTCAAAGAGCATGCACAGAGAAGTCCAAATTATACATGATTTAATAAAACGTAAATATAAGTATACATTTACGGCCTAAGACACGAAACAAACGGTTTGTGTGAGAAAACGAACAATATTTATATCATTTTTACCTCGTTACCACAGCCACAAAGCGCCCGCACCCTCACTTTGACATGGCTGTGGTTACAAGAGGTAAAAACAATATAAATACTGTTCGTTTTCTCACACAAACCGCTCGTTTCGTGTCTTAGGCCATCAATGTGTACTTACATTTACGAGTCATTAAATCATGTTTAATTTGGTCTTCTCTGTGCGTGCTCTTTGAGGTGGTGACCATAGACCTCCATTATATGACTGACAGACACGAACGGTTTGACCTAAAAATATCAAAATTGAACTGTGGAAACAAAGACACCTACATCTTGGATGCCTTTGAGATAAGAAAAGTGAACTAATAAACACCACTAAATGGTTAAGATTTAGGCACAAAAAAACGTACAGCTGACAACCACACAATATTTAAATAGATCAATTCAAGTTTATTTATCATTAACCCCAGTATAACCAGTGATTTTGTAGCAATGAGTGTTGGACATGCAGTTTCTCACTCAAAGTTACCTTAGAGTCGGTAAAACACTGATCACGGCCATTTAGAAAAATCACTGCAAAATAAAAAAGTCCTTTGGCCTTACAATGGCACCATTTCTTCTTCAAAAAAAGGCTGCAAACAAGTAAACAACTGTGTGGATAGTACCTGACTGAAAAATACTGAGAAGGTACATCGTCATCAGGCCTTACAAGATGTCTTCTCTCTAAATTTCATCCACACTCTCTAATACTAAGATGCTTTGCTACACTAAACGTGTTTCTAAACCTCTGATATCGTCCCTGTGAGAAGGAAAAAGTTCAATGATACATTTCTCCGCTTAAAATGCAAAACCAAAGTCACTACAATCACTCTTCCAAACAATACGTCAGTCACTTGAGAGAGAATAAACACATTTGCATAAAACAATCTTGTGTGGTCATTTGCAGAAATTACACAAGTGCCCAAAATCTACAGATTCACAAAGTCGTTCAGTGAGATTCTACTATCAGCACCATTTTACAATTTAAAATCCACTCTTTCCAGCTAAATAGCTTACTCAAAATATGTAAAAACCATACTGAGGATTCAGGAACACAGTTGATCTGTGACTATTTCAAGTAACAGGTACAATGGAGCCAGTGAACATAAGACTTAATGTAGTGCCATCGACTGTTCAGAAGCTGTGCGCATGACCTTAAAAAGACAGATAATATATAAATACAGTAATGCCATGTTTAAACCATCATGAAAGGCATGTCTTTAGCGCTGTTCAATAGCTTTGAAATACTATCCAGAAGCACTTTATATCTGGAAATATTAACATACATGATTCATTAGTTTAAAAAAGAACACTTATTATGCAATATCCCATTAAAAGTTTCATTAGTTGTAAGATACTACTTAGAGTTTAGCTAGCATTGTCAAACAAACCGGGACATCTTTGAGCTGCAGACAACAGAAAAGTGTCATGGGTGAATCTCACGGAAACATGTCTAGGTCACATCTGACACCATTTTATCGTATTTATCGTAAAGAAAATGATTGTATGACCATTGAAATGTTATACAAGTTTACATTTAAAAGTGACTAAAAATGAATTTAATCAGTGTAAATGCAAAGCAGTACAACAATCAATACTATGATATATAAATAATTTAAAATATAAATATCGAATTAGAATTTAGTGGGGTAATGTACCTAGCTGTCTTAAAATAAAATAACAATGTATTTTTTTTTTTTTATATTAATGGTGAATGGTGTCATAAGATATATTTGTGTAAATGTGTGTGTATATACACACACATACACATATATACAATAAAAAAAAATCTTTGATTTTAGAAAGAAATATGACCTGGATGTGTTTCACGAGATTCACACTAATACTAGTATTATAATCATTGTAACAAACTGTAGGTTGTAAATCAGTGGAGAATCCCTGTAAAATTTGGTTTGAAGAGACGGCTTTGTCATCATATCAGGCAACAGACTCAAAAGCACGAGCACGATTTAACACTTCAACCTCAAGAGTAAATCGAAGTTGAAAGAATACAGAATTCTCAGGATCAAAACTCGTCACATAAAAGTCCCTTGAAGCCGCTAGACAATGTGAGGTAGAGGACTGAACCAAGCCGGAACAGGCAGCAGTGAAAGAGCGGGTACCATGTCAGGTGGCGTGGCAGTGACGCGGCAAAAGTGGGGGTGATTTCAAGGATGGAGCGAAGAGAGCGTCACACCTCCCCGAAGTTGGTGTGCCCGGTCTCCTTCGCATGCTCCCTTGCTTCTTTTTGCCCCACCAGGCCAGTCTGGCACACCATGCAGCGCAGAGCGAAGCGGTTGACGTCCGTGAACTGACGTTTCCTCCGCGCCTCGTCCGCGAGCTCCAGCGCCTGGGCCAAAATGATGTCATCGGTGGTGGAGAACACCGTCTGTGCGGGAACATCCGAACTGGGCATCACCTTTTGGAGCGGGTCATAATGAATACCATCATAAATAAGCAGCACCCGTTTGGTGTAACCCACATCCTCGCCGAAGCGGTCGACGCGCACAGTCTGGGTGTCGACGACGCAAATCTCACACTGGAAGAACTTCGAGAGGATTGAAACCTCAATGGCGCCTCCCCATGTGTCATCTCGACGGATCCAGGCACAATAGTCCTCGTTGGTCTTGCCCAATACAGCCTCCGAGTACGCAGTGGGGTCACTGGCTACTATTTGTGCGATGAGCCCACGCATTTCAGGCGCACAGGCTGGGTCGTACACACCCCCCTCCATAACGAAGTGCACACTGGTAAACAGACAAGAGTTGTCGGCAGGGACGACGCGGCGCTCTAGAACAGGAGCCAGGTCAAAACTGGGCCCTTTGGTCACAGTGGCTTGCACTTGGGGTTTGGGTTTGTTCTTCTCCTCCTCTACAATCAACGTGTCTCCTTGAACAGTAAAAATATCATTAGAAACTTGGCTTGAACAAATGTGCATGATTGGATTTATAAACAAGGACGAGGCAAACCTGATTTGATAGGGTAGTCTTTGAGGTGGGCTTCCCCATCGCGTAGATCCAGACTGGACGGTGGATAGCCTACCATGATCTTCTGTACATCACATGGTATCCCTGTTAGCTCCTCAATCTTATCTTTAAGCTCCTGAACGCAAGATTGGTGTGTAAGGCCCTGCATCAGATGGGTCCCGTTTTTAGCTTTGCACCGCAGACGTAGCATCCTGTACCTATTCAGTTCTGAACACAAAACAGTTTCATAATATATGAAGCCTAAAAATTATCAGAAAATAAGCACACAATAATTTTTTTTTCAGTTTAATTGCTGAAACATATTCATACAGAGCAACTGCTAGAAGTATAGATAAATCATCTGTGTAAACTGTAAAGCAATGGTATTTTTTAATGATGTATACAGTTCATGAATACATAATACATGAACATACATAAATGAACGAAAAATATATAGGCATATAGATATATTCCAATATCATTAGAGATCATGCATTGTGCTGGTTTAATTGAACAAAAACAGTATATATATAATTACTAATTTAAAGCTCTGTGACATTTTTTCACCTAAGCAAAAGTATATAATAATATAACGTTAAATGTCAATGGTCACAACAATCTAAGCTAGGCTAATTGTTAGCCAGGCTACAAATACCGTTTCAAAACCTTAGCATATAAAATAAGGAAATCCCCTTTAATTTAACTATAAAAAGAATTAATTCACTATAAATATGTACTCTAAATATAAATAGAAAAATGGTCTTATATTGAAAAAGTCACGGGTGTTTGCATTTGGCTCGATGCAAAACTCACCACTCACCACTGAGCGCCTTTTAAAACAACAGTGACCGAGCGGAAATACGTCACGGCTCTGGTGAAACGTTACGTCAAAATGTATTTTTTTTACTGTTAACAAGCAGTATCAACAGAGTCTTGATATATTATGATGTTACATGAAGTCGTTGTCGTTTAGTTAATGTAAAAATGTATATGTCACGACGTAGATACATTTAAAATTAAACAATTAAAGCAAAATTGGATTTAAAATAGTGAAAATTGTGTATTAATGCACAACCGGATATATTTGTGTGTATGTGTTTTTTTTAAATAATTATTATTATAATGTAATTGAATCCACCGGTCTGTAATGTCTCTCCCGGCCACAAGCAGCGTTACATATAATCAAGGACTCATTTTGTGTGCGTCATTCCGTCTCCGGAAGTGCGCCGCCATTGAAACACCATCAACCAACGTGAGATTTTCGTTGCCGCGCCAAAATAAATCACGTTTAATTGTTCATTGATCATCTCTTTTAATTATATCTGAATATTATTGTGAAGAATGGCGTACAGAGGACAAGGACAGAAGGTTCAGAAGGTTATGGTGCAGCCCATTGTATCCTTTCAGACCGCAGAACTGCATCGGCTTCTTTCCTTTGTATTGATGTGTTTAGATTTTAAAATTTTGATAATTTTATGTTTAATTAAGTATGATATAAATGTATCTGGTTTTAAGAATGCAGAATATTTGAACAATTTATGAGATGTTCACATTAGTTTTGTGTTGGTCCTGTTGATCGGCTACAATTTAATGAAGAATGCTTTAAAAATTATTAATTTAATAATTTGAATGACAGTATAATGTTATTATGTTTATATTTGTTTCCTTAATGGCACCATCAGAACCTCATTTTCAGGTATCTACAGAATGTAAGTTCAAATTTAATTCGACTTTTCCCTTTGTAACGTAACATTTAAAATCTCTCTCTATCTATCTATATATTTATATAAATATAAATAATGATTGACCCATGTTTTTTAATTTTCTCTTCCATCTTTTTATTTAATTATTATAATTATTTTTGAAGTGTTGACACTTTTGTTTTGTTTGAACAACATTACATGCAGCGATATATTTAAATCCACCTCATATGTTCTGAATATGATTCATTGAATATAATTATAATTGTTTTGTTCTTTGTAAATAGTGTCTTTCATACAGAAACTTGTTTACTCTGCGTAATTATAAAATGATATAGGTAATTGTGAGTTTTTTTCCTTGCAATTCTGAATGGCAAGATTAAAAATTTGCAATTACCTATTTTACTTTATTTTCCTGTAGTATAAACAAGCTTCCATAGGGAAGACATTTTACCACATGATACTCCAGGAAGACATAATGTAAATGAGTTACTAACAGGTTTTCCCTTCCCTGCAGCGTTCCCGAATCCAGGTATGGCTCTACGAACAGGTCAACATGCGGATAGAGGGTTGCATCATTGTGAGTAAAAACAACACATCTCATATTTACTGTTAAAGGGACAGTTCCCCCTGAAAAATTTAATTCTATTCATGACTTACTCACCCTACACAAATGAAGATCTTTCTAATGAGATCTGAGAGCTTACTGTCTCTCCACTGACAGCTACACAACTACCACTTCAAAAAGTTCATAAGGAAATCGTAAAACCAATCCATATAAATTGAGCGGTCTAGTAAAACATTTCTGATGAGGCTTGATCACTTTATGCAAGGAACAGATTTTATTTAGTCTTTTATTCATATAAAAACATTGCTAAACAGAAGCTTGATGTGCGAGAACAAACCTCATTGGTTCTTACGATCCTCAAACTGACTGCATAATAGGTGGTGGTAATAATAAAATACATTGATCTAATCTAAAGTATAACGTACCCATCATCAAACAGGCTCCTGTTATACACCATAAACATAAAAGTACTAAGCATTACATAAAAGAATAAAAAAAAATTCTGACAATAATTGCAATATAAACCGCATTAAGAATTGATGAGCTGCTGGGTTCATGAATATTAGTCCCGTCTGCATTTGAGCATTAGTTTCTGCTTGCTCATAAAAGCTGAATAATTCTAAATGAACTCCACTATTTTTAGAGGAAAATCGATTACATGTAGTACTTCAATTCTGCTTGGTGTGTAAGACTCTTGCTCTCTCTTCGAGTGTGTGAGAAACACGCCTCACAGCAAAGCGACAGCGAGTCGGGCGCCTCACACTAATGTTTACTCTGCGTCAAATACATGAAGGTGAGTAAATGATGACAGAATTTTCATTTTTGGGTGAACTATCCTTTTACCACATCTCATTACAGATGAACTCGTGAAACACTATCTTGCAGGTATAGTCTATGTAAATAACTCTTTCTTTCACGTTTCAAGGGATTCGATGAGTACATGAATTTGGTTTTGGATGATGCAGAGGAGGTCCACATGAAGACCAAGAACAGGAAGCCCTTGGGTAAGTGTGAATGACTGTGGTGAGTTTTGCTTTTCAGAGAAATAAAGTTCACTTGAAGTAAGATAAGATTTGAAAAAATGTTGGGGTTTTTTCTCTCCGTTAGGACGGGTTATGTTGAAAGGAGACAACATCACATTGCTGCAGAGTGTGGCCACTTGATCATCTGTTAGGAGTTCATCTGGATATCACTTGGTTGCTGTTTTACTTTTTCATTTGTCAATATTTCTATTGTTGACCCGATGGTGGAAACATTTGTTTTTCTAATTTTCCCAAAATAAACCTTTTCTTTTCTCTATTTCAGACTATTTTTTTGATGAAGCGTGGTCTTAAGTGTTGAAATTAAAATATATTTATAATATTGAGTTTTGATCTAACATAGAAAGTCAAGTCTCTCTCTGAAAATTCTTATAATATGCTGTTTTGACCATTAGCATATGTTCATCAGGTTAAAAATTATTCCTTTCAAAAGTTTGGGGTTGGTAAGAGTTATTTTTAAAGTTTCTTATTCTCACCAAGGCTGTATTGATTTGATCAATAGCATCATTATTCCAGTCTTCAGTGTCGCATGATCCTTCAGAAGTCATTAAAATATGCTGATTTGCTGCTCAAGAAACATTTTTGATTATTAATGTTTGTTGAAAAGTTGCACTGCCTAATATATTTGTGGATTTCAGGATTTGATGAATAAATTTCAAAACAACAGCATATATTTTAAATAGAAAATTTTTGTAGCACAAACGTCACTTGTTCAGTTTAATGCACACTTGCTGAAAAAAATAAAATAAGATTAGTTTCTTCTTTTTTTCAGCATCTGACCCCACCTTTGAACTGTAGTGTTTTTTTGCACTCAATCAGGACTGCTGATGCACATGGTTCTATGTTACTTATATAATTTAAAAATAAATCCAATTAATAGTTGTTTTTTAAGTGCAATGTCCCATTTGACTTCTGTCTGCAGTTTACCATGTAACCACTAGAGGGCGCTACATCACGTTTGTCTCAGTCTGGACTGATTTTTAATTACTCGTGCCCTTTTATACATTCTACTTTTTTGTTGTTGCTTTTTATAGTACTTTAGATACGCTTAGTGTTTGTTCAAATGTCGAAGTGAGCATAGTCAGAGCCCGTCAGTGTTGTTGTGCATTTTACTCACACAGCCCAATGATACAAACTGCAATACCTGACCTTTCTAATTTAAAAGTTCATGTTGGTCACAAATGTTACGTGTGGGATTAAATGGGTTAACAGTATTTTATAGTAGGCTATCATAGTAAGATAGCTAAAAGCAGTAGCTTGTTTCCGCCACTGCATTAAAAAAGGGTAGGCTATATAGACACTTTTTATCTCGCAATTCTGTCTTTTTGAATTGTGAGATAAAGCCTCGCAGTTACCTTTTGTAAAAAAAAAAATATATATAGGCCTATATATATGTTTTCTGAGGCCCAAATAAGTTCCAATAACTTGCTGAGAAGTTTGATATTTGTTGTTCCTTCAATTTCTTGTGGCTAAACAAATTAATTATTACAATATTCCTCACCATTCTAAATAACTAGACTACACAAAATAAATATTAACAGCCGTGTTAAAACAATTACAACACAGTTGCAGTTATAAAGTCGTAGGCTAAATGTGCAGCAAAGCCATGCGTAATCCGTAATGATTGTTCAAGCGATAAATACATTTGCATAGTTGTTTATCTAGACGCTGTTGTGTTGCAGTATGGGCTACGTATAGTTTCAAATCCCCGGTTTGTGTTTGCCTCCCTCGAAAAATACAATAGCTAATTTTAAGCTTACAGCTTTAGATTTCAATAACGGTTTTCTTCCTTAAGGGGAAGTTTGATAAAAATCTGGAAATATGAAAACAGCATCAAGTCAGCAGTGCTCGGATAGGTTTGCCAGAGAGCAGGAGAGCTGTACTTTGAAATCTGAGGCAGTGGTTGGTGAGCACTATCTCTGCCAAACCTGTGGAGGAAGCGGTATCTAAATCACGAGTAAGAGCTTTGCGTGTCTCGGAGCCGGAGAACCAGATGCAGCCGTGAAGCTCATCGGGAGGAAGTCAGTTGCTGACTCCAGAGAGTTTAAGCTCACTTCATAACTGCGACCGCACGCTTTTAGTCGTTCACTGTGGGTTCAACCACAGTAATGTTGCATAAAGTCAATCCCCTTGTGAATATATCGGTGCATCTTCGATGGGGGCTTTTAAAGGTACAGGCCTACAGGCTCACAATTACGCGAGTTGAGGTGTTTTGCTTTCTTTTTCATATGAAATTGAAAGTGTCCAGAATTCCCAAAACTGCGCAAAATCTTGAAATGTTAGTTCACCCAAAAACAAATCAAAATTCGGTCATCATAACCCTCAAGACTTTCGTTCATCTTCGGAAAAACAAATGAAGATCTTTTTGATGTCCCTCCATTGACAGAGCTACGCAACTGCCACTTTGAAAAGTTCATAAAGAGATGATGATAAAACTAAAAATGTATCGAATAGAAGCAATTTCATAAAAAAAGTTCTTCATTTGCATTCCGGATCCGGAGATCCAATCAAATTCCGATGGATACAAATACAACCCTACTTTTTGTTCTTGTTTGGAATTGCATAGCCCTAATCTTAATTATAATTAAGAAATCATTAAAATAAAGTATTAATTAATTCTAATATATATACAGTATATATATATATATATATATTAGGGCTGTCAAATGATTAATCGCATCCACAATAAAAGTTTGTGTTTACATAATATATGTGGGTGCACTGTGTAATTATTTTATAAATACACACACATGCTTGTATATATTTAAGTAATATTTTCATGCGTATACTGTATATAGATTTATATATAATTTATATTATATATAAATATAAATATTTTATATATAAATAAAAAATTGTCTTAAATATACATGTTTGTGTATTTATTTATATATACAAAATACTTATACACAGTGCACCCACATATATTATGTAAACACAAACTTTTATTTTGGATGCGATTAATCGTTTGACAGCCATATATATATATATAGGCCTATATGTTTGGGACATGATACTTGCTTGTATTTTTGTAGATTCCTTTTGATTTCAAATCCTCAGGAAAAGAAATGCAAAACCAACAAAACGGGAGGAAAAAAAGGGATTTTTTGATGATGCCTTCTATGACACACAGTGAAACTTGGCATCAGCTAGCCATTGTCAAAGTCATCATTCGCACATTTGTTAATGAGGGACCCGACAGGCACCAGCTTTAAAATGACCCTAAACAAACAGAGTACAAAAATCTAATTCAAACTCATGAAAGTATTAAAAAATATATAACAGTATATCTAAAATAGTTCAGTATACAAAAAGGCCAGCGTGGCAAAGAATACTGCATCCCGCAATCCAATGTGCTTGATTTCCAGAGTGACAAGTAAAATTATTTTTTTCCTTTTCGGCAATTTTTTGATCTCTAGAGATGATGTGGCCACTGTGGTTTTCCGGTCATACTCTTCCAAGCACACTTCTACACTTAATGACACACAGTTTCCTTATATTATGCAAATGCCATCCTACAGTAAAAACCAGCACTTCCTTTCCTCTCACCCCAGGCAAAAAAAACCAAATAAGACGGTCCGTTTTCTGCCGTGACCATCCGGGTATGGGAAACCAAGCAGTGGCTTTGCAGGCAGGTCAACCCTTGCTGGGTTTAGCCGTCGGAAACACTGCCCAGGTCAGATTGGCATCCGGGAGCTCCCGAGGGGCCTTCCTGTTCCTGCGGGAGTGATTGTTGTGAGCGTGTCCTTTGTTCTCCCTTCCCCCGATCTGACCCGTCTCCTACCTCGGCTCCGTCCAGACAGGTTCAGTCTTTCATTGCCCTCAACATCCATCGCCATCAATCCCTGTTGTCTGGTTCACTCACATGTTCGTGGACTGATGTTGTTTTTGTTCACTTTAAGGATAGTGTCTGTGCGCGTATCCGAACAGGAGATGCTTTCACATTAAAAAATGATTTTAAAAAGACTTTAGGTAATTTATCTGACTGCCATCCTCTCGGTCTAGAAAGAGTGATGGCCTGTTTGTTTTCATTGTTCTGACCCGAGGGTGAAAATACTTCATTTAAAGACTCAAATAGCTCAAACAAGTAAACCTAGGAAAGTGGATTCTCTGTAAATTAATCTTTTGTAGGCCTAATTCAAAAAAACACAAAATGATGTATGAGAAATGGCACTTATATTTCTGAAAAACTTGTTTCTGTTTCAAGGTAATGATTTGATAAGGCCGGAGATCAGTTATTGAAATAATTAAGTGAACTAAAGAACTTGACAAAACAAGATATACAAGACAAAAAATATAAATAATAATACATAAAAAATGTCAGCAGTCCTACAAATAATATTGTTAAACTAAACTTTTATATATATATATATATATATAATCACTGTGAAAAATATTTTCATGATTTGTAATCTCAACATTTTTTCTTTTGTCAAATCAACTTAAATAATTTATATAGTTCAGATAACATAATATTTTGAGTTTCTGATGATTAAATCAATCTCCTTCACTGTATTAACTCAATTTTTCCATTTCAATCAACTTAAAATTTTAAGGCAGCATGGTTACTTAATTTTTTTAGTTAAACCAACAATATTTTTTTTATTAGTTTAGTTTAACAATACAATTATAATGTAATATAAATATATTGTGAAATATGTGGCATGGTCTGTCTATTAAAAATATTAGATTTTTTTTTACTTTATGTCAAGTAAAGAGATATTTTATTACTTTAAATGAATCGAAAAAGTTGTTAAATTAGAACAATTTATTTTTAATAACTTCATATATTATTTTAAAACATATTTCATAATCCTATTTATCAAAGACTTGGTTGTTGACGTATAACCTTCAGAACTAAAAAAGAAAAAAAAAACCTTCCTCGTTATATGGGCAACAAAAAAAAAAAAAAAAACCCCGCTGCAAATGCTGTTTACACGAAGGTGACACTCCACCAAAGCATTCTCTGAGCGCACAGGCAGTGACCTGTGAACATGTTGCTTATCTTGTTTTAACAGTCTGGTCATAATGCATAATACCTCCAGTTTTCTCCTATTAACACATACAATAATATGCAGGTCCGATAAGGGCTTTTGTTTCTCATTCTCACCCAAGGAAACATTTGTAGCATTTTTCATTGTGACTCACTTTGGCTGAAATGGACGTGGAACCGTTGGGCAAAGCTCCAGACTCTGAGTGTAAGAGAAAAAGGGTCCAAATCAGACTGGGCTTTGTGCAAATGTATAATGAACAAGCTTT